AACGAACGCATGTATGCACCTGAGTAAATTACTTTGCAATGACATTTTTCACATGTTTATGAAAAATAATGAGTTTAAGTATGAATAGTTTTAATAAAATGCTATAATTGATATCAAAAACGAAAGTTTTTAATGAAAGGTAATAGTTGATATAAAAGTGTTCAAGAGTCAAATTCATGGAAAATAAAGCTTAGAAAGTTATTATTCACCTTATTTGCACTAATGCACTGTATTCTTAACCAATCTGAACGTGCGTTTAGAAGTGTGCTTTTCGTGGGCTGAAAACGCTATTCCGAGAGTTTCAAGGCGCCAGCGGTATGGGAAAGTGGTTTTTCGAACGAACGCATGTATGCACCTGAGTCAATTACTTTGCAATGACATTTTTCACATGTTTATGAAGAATAATGAGTTCAATTATGAATAGTTTTAATAAAATGCTATAACTGATATCAAAAACGAAAGTTTTTAATAAAAGGTAATAGTTGATATAAAAGTGTTCAAGAGTCAAATTCATGGAAAATAAAGCTTAGAAAGTCATTATTCACCTTATTTGCACTAATGCACTGTATTCTTAACCAATCTGTATGTGCTTTTAGAAGTGTGCTTTTCGTGGGCTGAAAACGCTATTCCGAGAGTTTCAAGACGCCTTTATGTTGGGAATGTGGTTTTTCGAACAAAAGCATGTATGCACCTGAGTAAATTACTTTGCAATAACATTTTGCACATGTTTACGAACAATAATGATTTTTAAGTATGACTAGTTTTAAGAAAATGCTATAATTGAAATTAAATTAAAGGTTTGTAATCAAAGCTATTGGTTGATATAAAAGTGATATAAGTGTTATAGAGTGAAAATCATGGACAAAAAAGTTTGTGTGCGCGCTTCGTTGACTATAAACGTTATGTCTTCTGGCTCCATGCCATTATGATTTACTATTCTGGCAGATGGTTGATACTGTTCTGAAGGATAATTCAAAGGGTGAAGGAATTTTCCTGGAGTATGATAAAACCAAAACACTAACAGATGCAAAATGAAAACCGACGGTTAACATTCTGGTGGCAGATGTGATAGTAGAGTCATATGGGTAAGAATTCATAAAAATCTGTACTTGAACATTATTTAAAACCTGCACTTGTCTGAAATGATTATGGATTCAAGCACTGAAAATTGCTTGTAATGCTTGTGATGTTTTGTAAGGAGGATTCCACCACCAAGTGTACAAACTAATCATATATTGTGAATCGTGAGTCTGTTTCTATATCTACAAGATCTATATTCTAAAAATGAATACGTGAGTGTTTATTAATTAATTCTCATGCATTAGAGTGCTGAGTAGAATTTCTCCATGATGTTTGGAGATGAGACATCTGGAAAATTCTTTGCAAAGTGGCCTACATATTTCAAGCCTAAAGTTGTTGCTGACTGCAGGAGTCTCCTGCATATATGCGTATTTTGAGGAGCTGCTTTCAGCATTTCAGCCTGAACCTGAGAACAGCTTTGGTCTGTTTTAAATCTTAATTTCAGAAATTGATGTATTCTTGCGTTTTACTCCTACTTTTATTTGGATAACATATACAATTTATCCCTAGGATGGGATGGTGGAATGTCATCAATGTTTTCAGCCTAGACTTAAACAATGAGTAGCGAGGAAAAACTCCCTGAGAAGATATGAGGAAGAAACCTTTGAGAGGAACCAGACTGTCGCCTCGGCTTGCTCATCAGACACACTCTCACACTTCATCTTACTTTTTTGTTTGTGTAAAGCTGCTTTGAGACAATGACAGTGTAAAAAACGCTATACAAATAAACTGAATTGAAACTGAATTGAAAAGGGAACTGATCATCATCTTGGTGACAACGGATAGTGCAATTATAAATAAATCCCTTCTAAAAAATTATGTACTACATGAACAAATAGTGCAATTGTGCAACCAGGAACTTGTTTACATGTTTAATATTTAAGATAAGATGTTTTAATAATTTAAAACAATGTTTTGATCATCTTAATTTAATAATTAATATGTTGGACTCCTGATCAGAAGGTTGAGAGTTCAAATTCCAAGCTGCCACTGCTGGGCCCTTGAGCAAGGCCTGTAACCCTCAACTGCTCAATTGTGTAAATGATTGTAATAATTGTAAGTCGCTCTGGATAAGGGCATCTGCCAAATGCCATAAATGTAAATGTAAATGTAATATGAAGTATGTTTTGGTGAACCAATCCACTGTCCAATGATGGAGATGTCAGTTCAAAACTGCTCGTGGCAAAGGCACCACTGCAATCGCAGTCCCAAGCCATCATAATACAACTGCCCATATGAACAGCAGTCCACAGTCCCCAAGCAGAACCATCGCCATCAATCCCAATGAACTTCAGGCCATCCATGTGGAGACCCCCTGAAGAGAACACCAACCAAAAGTAAGGCATCAGGATGGATCAGGCAGGTCCAGAGAACAGAAGGGGTCAGGATCACTGGTATCCCAGTAGTAGCATGTGTAGTTCGGCAGAGAGAGAGAGGGATAGAAAATGAGCAAGAGTGAGAGAGAGAGGGAGAGATTTTTAGGTATTCTTTTTGTCTTGTAATGGGTAAGGACAATGAACTTTGAGAGTGCAAGCAGGAACTTTGGTAATACTAACAGCATAACTAAAAGCAGCCAGCCACTCCAGCCTCAACAAACCTGTAAGAAAGCGTGAGAGCAGTGCATTCAAACATCCCAGTTTAACACAACATTCTATGCCTGTGAGCACTGCAGGTCTGTGCCTTTACAGAATAAATAAGTATTCACAAAAGGCTTGATGAAACAAATATTATTTTAGCTGAGACTTAAACACTGAGTCTGAGTTGTTATTGTTGTTGTTCCTCTTTCAGCTGCTCCTGTTAGGAGTTGCCACAGTGGATCATTCTTCAGTGTATTTGATTTGGGGCAGTTTTCATGCTGGATGCTGTTCCTGAAGCAATCCTCCCCAGTGTTATCCTTGCTTGGGACCTGCACTGAGAGCGCACTGTTGCACGCAACCCCAGTGGCTGGGGTTGGTTCCCTGGCTGGGAATCAAACCCTGGCTGCAGCGACAAAAGGGCTGTGGCCTAACCACTAGTCCTCCGGGGACCCCAGACTGAGCCTGAGTCCTAAACTCTAATTGGAAGGCTCTTACATAACTGTGGAGAAAGCTCTACCCCTTGCTGTAGCGTACACTATCTGAGGTATCAACAAATACTCTGCACCTTTTGTTCAAATTAGGCGTGACGGATCTCAAAAGACCAAAAGTTTGCTCAGGCACTGAGGCATGGGACCATTCAATGATTTATAGGTCTAATAGTAATAGTAATTTTATAATCAATGTGAAATTGATGTGCAATGTGAAATGCCTATGTGCATAAAAACTGTGTGCATTAGGACTTTTCATTAAAACACACATTCAGATCCTTATAATACTTTCAGTAGAGGTTTTTCACAATTTTATGATAGAAAATGAGATGGAAAATGATTGTTTACTTTACTATTTATAAAAAGAATAAATCTTGAAAAATCATGTATTGAAAGTCATTTTCCCTTTTGAGTCTGGTTCCTCTCAAGGTTTCTTCCCCTTATCATCTAAGGGAGTTTTTCCTTGCCTCAGTCGCCTCAGGCTTGCTCACTTAGGGATAATTTTGTCTAACATCTAGGACTGTTTGCATGTTTTTGTTTCTGTTTGCATGTTTTTTTGTTTCTTATGTTCAGTAAAGCTGTTTTGAGACAATGTACATTGTTAAAAGCACTATACAAATACAATTTAATTGAATTTAATTAAATAAAGACTCACATTTCATGAATGTTATTCCTATGGTAAGAGCATAACGGATGTGCTACAACATTTTTATAAAATCTTGGAGACAAAAGGGATTTTTGATATTGGCGTATAGATGGAAAAGTGACAGGGATTGAGGTCAGGTTTTTTAATCAGGCATTTAACTGCTAGATTAAAAGATTTATGTACATAGCCATTACTAACTTCAATTCAGTGTCGCCTTTCAATAGAGGTTGTGTACATTATTTTGACGGAAAATGATTGTTTATTTAAAGATTTATATTTTGATAATATAATGTTAAAAAGAATAAATCTTGAAAAATCAAGTGTAGAAAGTGATTTTTGTTAACTACAGTACACCATATTGTTTTCTAAATGACTGCCTAAATGCTTAGTCATGTGGGTGCATGAGGCGCTGAAAATCTGTTTTAGCAAGTTTTAAGGCGCCAGAGGGGCAGGAAAGTCGTCTTCCATGCAAATTCAAAGATGTACATATAAATTGTTCTTACATTCAGTATTATCAATTTATCAGTTTATCAGTTTATCATCAGTTTATCATATTGTTAAAGCATATTGTTTTCTCAGCAAATGCCTATGTGCTTAAAAAATTGAGTAAATGCGCTTATAGCAAGTTTCGAAGCTCCTCTCCAGAGGGCCAGGAAATCCATTCTTCATGCACTTACGTGGACATAGGTGTCATTTATTCAATAGAGATTTTAAACATTGTAATGATGGAATAAGACACGATGCATGATTGTTTATATTATACATATTGTGATATTATGATAATGACTTTCAGCACATGATTTCAGTATGTTCATTAGGCTGAGAAAATGCGTTTTAGCAAGTTTCAAGGCGCCAGACCGGCAGAAAAGCCGTCAATCATTGGAGACACGTTCGTGGACATCGGAGTCATACGTTAAATAGACGTTTTTCACATTGTTATGATAAAAAATGTGATGAAAAATAACTATTTACTAAAATTCACATGTTGATATACGAGTGATAAAAAAGACTAAATCGTGACAAATAATGTACTGAAATTCATTTTTCACCAATTATGGGACAGCATTTCATTTTTTCAACGAATATCTATGTACTGAAATTCATTTTTCACCAATTATGGGACAGCATTTCATTTTTTCAACGAATATCTATGTACTTAGAAATTTGTGTGCATTAGGTTGAGAAAAGGCGTTTAAGCACATTTCAAAGCGCCAGAGCGTCAGGAAAGCCGTTTTTCATCTGTTTCATAATTCAGTAAAGGTTTTTCCACATTGTTATCATCATAACAAAAAGGACATAAAGCATTAAAATAAAGTTTTATTAAAATTCAAGTTTTGATATTATAAACGTTAAAAACACTCAATACTAACAAATCTTGAGTAGAAAGTCACTTTTTATCAACTACGTTGTTATTTTCTCAAGGATTTACCTTGCTGCTTACTCCCTTGAGTGCATAAATCGGAGAAATGCGTTTTGAAAAGTTTCAAAGCACCAGAGCACAAGGAAAGCCGTTTTTCATTAAAACACAAGCACATCTGTTGAATAAAGTCATGGGCTGAAAGTTCTTTTTCATTAAACATATGTACTTAGACATATGTGTGATTTAAAAGCTATTCACATTGTTAAGATGGAAAAGGACATGAAGCATGTTTATTTTTATTAAAATTCATGTTTTGATATTATTAAGATAAAAACACTCAATACTAACAAATCTTTATTAGAAAGTCATTTTTTATAAACGACGATATAGCATATTATTTTCTCAACGATTTACCTAGCTCAGTTGCTTGCTCATTGAAGAAAATGCGTTTTAGCAAAACTCCCTGAGCCAATTCAAGGCGCCAGAGCACCAGGAAAGCCGTTGGCACTTCAAGTAAGTGCACTTCAATTCAATTCAACGAAAATTTTATTTGTATAGCACTTTTAACAATGGACACTGTCACAAAGCAGCTTTACAGAAGTAAATAAATTCAGAATATAAATTGTAAATGTATGAATTTATTCATAATAGCTAAGCCAGAGGCGACGGTAGCAAGAAAAAACTCCCTGAGACAATATGTGGAAGAAACCTTCCGCCACGGCAGTCGCAGTTCCGACTGAAGAGCAATTACTTAAAGATTCTACAGTAGAATTAATTAATCTTTATTGTGAGCATAGAGGAGCTCACTGTGAACAGTTGGTTTTGTCTACCAATTTGAAATGTCCCTTTAATAATGAATCAAAATAGCGTCCAGGTTCAATTACATTTATAAATTCACTGATTTTGAAGAGCAATAAATTTAAATTTCTACAGTAAAATTCTACTTTATATTTCTAAATTAATTCCTTTCTATTGCGAATAAAGCGAAAGCATAAAGCGGAAAGCGAGCGAGTAAGCCTACCATTGTATGGATTTGAGTGGGTTTGAGGTTTCAAATGTCCATTTTATTTAATCAGTACGTAAGGAAATATTAATACTTAATATAATAAGAGAAATATTAAAAATATTAATTTTTTGGTGTCAGACTTTCTCTGTGAAATGATCCATCTATATTTATTTTTAAAAAAATGTATTCATGGTTAGATTTATAATAATATTTTATATAATAATAATCGCTGGCGCTCGCTTTCCGCTTTCGGTGTTACTACCGCTAAAAAGTGTCTAAAAGCCGCGCCCCACGACCGGCTAGACTAACCGTGGTGTACCTGCTGCTGTTTTGTCAATGGCAGGATATGAAGTACTGAGGGGAAAGTCAATAAGAGGTGTGGCTAGGAGCTATGAAATCTGTCATGTGACGCTCCGTAGATTTATCACAGATAAATAACACAAAACAAAATCAAGCTCCATTGGAGAGCTGGTAGTTCCAGATATGTGGAGAGGATTTCACCACCTCACGGCTCGGGAAGCAATGGCTGAAATGTTGCCATTGTGACCAATGGGTACATTAGATGTGCACAGACCGTTCAGCCACATACCTGTGTCACGAATGTGACAGTAACTATGAATAAATTGCTTAGTAGTTTAATTGCAGTGAACTGTTCAAAATGAAAATCAGAAAAATATCAGAATAATCAGAATTTTTCAGTACTCCCAGCTGTTTTTCTCATGATCTGTGACAGTTGTGTTTGGAGGCATGGTTCTGTTGTGTTGAGATTTGTGTGTTTTGTTAACAAAACACAGGTTTGTGTGTGTTATCTCTTTGCCTACATTATGTTGGCTTTGTTCTGTGTTCATTGTCAAGCGGTAAAATATGTTGTATGTAAATTAATTAATTTATATAAAATTAATTATTTCATATAAAAAATATATAAAATTAATTATTTCAAACGACTTTATGATTTTATAAGTTAATACATGTGTTTACTGACAATATCATAATTTATCCTGTATGTTTTTTTTTTGTTTTGTTTTTTTTAATTAAATCAGATTAAATTGTTAGAGGGAGATTTTAAGATGTCATATAACGTGCTCCACCTTTTGGGCACGATCTAACATTTCATTTCTTTCCGGTGTCTTATTCATTCCACAAACTTGAGAAAACAAAAAGTGTTAGGTTGTGCCGCTCTCTCCTTTATGAGAGAGCTAACCCTCGTCAATCTAATACACTAACACATTGTTTTCTCAGTGCATGTCTATGCGCTCACACAATGTGGTGCATTAGGCGGTGAAAACGCGATTTAGGCGGTGAGAACGCAGCTAGTTATGATGGCAAATGTAAGCCGTCATGATTTTAACCTTTAAACTGCTAGTTTTCAAGCCGCTAGGACTTCAGTAACGCCGGTTTTTGTTCAAAAGCATAAAAAAGCAATAAAAAAAGAGTAAAGCAATAAAAAAATACACTGACATTTTTTTAACTACATGCCAGTTAGTTAACTGCTACTCAGCACCAGCAGATGGCTAAACTGCCTGGTGAGCTGGCTAGTGAAATTAAGTTTGAATGCTTTACGAAATATCACCAGAGCACTTTGTCAAACACAATCAGACAATAATCAGACAAAGAAGAGAGTAAAGACATCAACTTTCGTACAGGTAGCCTACTTGCCACTTTGTGTAACATTTTTAGATCTTGTCTTTATCTGCTGCCAAGACCATCTAATGCAGTTGGGATTGCTTGTAACCCCCAAAATAAGTGGGGTTAATTATATTAGCTTTATTATATAAAAAATTCGAGTTAAATACAATCAATACTACTTATATAGGTCAAATTAGTTATGCTTCTGTTGACACATGTCCACACATGTAGCGCCCCTCTACTGACCGGCATTTGCAGCTGCATTGTCAGTGTGGAATTTTGCACGGGCAAGCACCACTCACATTTCCTTCAGAAAATGTAAA